TCTATAATATATGTTGGTGTTGTGTATGTCTTTAATATATGATGGTGTTGTGTATGTCGTATGTATGATGGTGTTTGTGTATGGCAGGTTGCTGGCTGCTAATGTATGCACAGGTGTGTCCTTGCTCTTTATCCAAAAGAATAGCCTTCAGATACGCTTGGAACGGGCGGCTTCTTCACCTCTTCTATCATCTTGTGTTCCGCTTATGTCGCCTTAAGGATACCTATGCTTGTATAGTCACTCACCCCTTACCTACTATGCCTACCATTGCTCACAGGGCCGTCGGCTGGTGCGGAGCACTTTCCTCTGGCCAAGCAGATGCTAGACCACGTAGTGTCCACTCACTACCCTGACATCTGGGCTGCCCATGACAACGACACAGACAGATACATTGCCTTCTTCCAGGAATTGGTCGATCGCACGGCAGAGACCTGTGCTAAGTGGCAGGTGTGGCTGCGTGTGTATGTGTATGTGAGTGTGTGTGTATGGTGTGTCTGCGTGTGTATGTGTATGCGCGTGGTTGATGGGTGTGCTTGTCGTGTGAGTGTGTGCGTATGACCTAGTGGGATAACAGATATGTCTCTGCATCTCTGGGCTATGACTATGACTATGATATGACATACGGTGCATTCTGGTTTGTTTGCTCGCGTAGACCATATTGTGGCATTCATGCCTGTGTTCTTGTTTGTGTATTATTGTTTGTGTGTGTGTGTGTGTCTGTGCGTATCTCTCTCTCGCTCTGTGTGTGTGTGTGTGTGTATGTGTATGTGTGTGTGTGTATCTCGTGGGCATATAGCTGAATACTATTTGTGCGTGTGTTCCTGTGCTGCGTATGATCCTGTAAATCCGATTACCCGAGTATCTGAGCTAAGTACATAGAAACACACACAGTCCCCTTCCGCACAGGAAAGTACTAGACCTTGACCATAGCACTATGTTCTGCCTGTGCCTTTACATTCGTAGGGTGTAGGGTTTGTGCACGGTGTGCTCAACACAGATAACATGAGTATCCTGGGGCTGACCATTGACTATGGACCGTATGGCTTCATGGGATACTTTGATTCGGATATGGTCCCCAATCACTCAGACACCACAGGACGGTATCGATACCAGAACCAGCCGGGTATCTGTAAATGGTAAGGGGTGTGAGAATATTACACACATATATATATATATATATGTAAATGTAAATGTATATTAATATATATGTGTATAGGTATATGTATATATATATATATATATATATATATATTGCGAGTACCACCCCAGGGGATGCGTGTGCCCATCCTTCGTGCATGCGCTGCTGCGTTCGTTCGTTGTTACCCACAGGTTACCGCGTGCTCATGCCATCCCATAACGTCTCTGAACAGGAACTTGACGCGACTGGCGCAGGCGTTAGACACCTCAGGTGTCATTTGCATGTCTAACCTGTCACCAGTGATAGAGAACTACGACGCCGTGTTACGCCGACATTACAGTGCAACCATGCTAGCAAAGGTAAGTCTACGTACTACGCTTCATTCGATGTGATTTCGATCTTATTGTGCAGTGGATTGCGCGAGAAGTTTACAACTAGCCCATATGTATATGTATATGCGTATATATACATATGATTTCTAGGTTCTTTTGCAGTGTCATAACATGCATTGCAGTGGGTGTTTTTCTTCCAACCTGTTTTGAAAGTTCACTCAATAGCTCAATTGCCTTCTTTATGATACTTAATACCTGTTATAGTGTGTCGTGTATCGGTCATGTACATCGCACACCTCTACAACACCTGTGGTTGACTGTGTTTCCTCCGTCGATGGTAGATCTATATATATATATATATATATATATCCTCACAACAATGAGTAATATAACCTACACTACCACAGCTGGGTCTAATTCGGTCTGTAGAGGAATCCGACCGTGAGCTGGTGTCTGAGCTGTTTGCCACCATGAATGACACGGGGTGTGACATGACTGCGCTGTTCCGTGAGTTAGCGGACGTGCCTGTGACTGAGGGGACTGTGAATCAGCCGCAGCTGCAGCGGTTTATTGAAGACTCTATCCTGCCACTGTGTTGCAGGTGTGTGCGTGAGTGAGTGAGTGACTGTTGTATGTGCAGGTCGGTAGGGAAGTGCACTGGATGTGCTGTGTTGCAGGTGTGTGAGTGTGAGTGAGTGAGTGACTGTTGTACGTGCAGGTCGGTAGAGAAGTGCATTGGATGTGTGATGTGTGGGTGTGAGCTTTTTCGGAATGATAGTGACCATGGGGAGAGATACCTGTGTACAGCTTTTAATTTTTGACCTATTCATCCACTGGCTCTGTTGAGCTCTGTTGCTCATCTGCATAGTCGCCCATACACGCCCATACACGCCCATGGATCTGAGGAAGACGTATCGTATGACGTAGTTTACTCATAGATCTGTTTTATTTATTCATTTTGAATGGCAATCCACTCAACAGTTCGAGACTCATGGCTAAGCGGATTAGACCAGACATGCCCCTGGCCACCATGCAGAGACTGATCGATCTGGGTGAGGAAAAGCCAGGTGAGTCCGTGAAATCTTCGGTCCTTAGTGAAGTCTGGGTGTGTGGGCGTGTGTGTGTGTAGGTATAGTTGTATGTGACTATGCTGTGTAGGGTTGAGGGTTTGGCAACCGTTTACTCTAGTTGCATCTGTTCAAATGGTTTGCCTATGGGAATACTTTAACGTTTTCCTTCCAACTGAGGATCTCATATCTGTTGACACGCACACCACATCCTGTTTGGCTTATCAGGCATTCTGCTGAGCTACACGGGAAGGACGGTAGAGTACTTTAAGAAGCTGATTGAATCGAACAACACCGCCAATGAAATGGACACGGAGGATGTGTCCATTCGTGACCAACGTGTGCGTGACAAATGGGGTGTGTGGCTGCCACAGTACATTGAACGGTTACATAGAGAGGTGGAGGTGGAGCCAGCAACCAGTGTGTCAGCTATGAACACTGCGAGGAAAGCGAAGATGGCCACCACGAATCCCAAGTTCACGTTCAAGAACCATCTGGCACAGGTGATTTTGAGTGCATGCAGTGAGATGCACGCTCCGTGTGCTGTTTGATGTTCTTCTGTGGGCTGCTACGTGTGTACCGTACACGTGTTTGTGGTTTTACCACAGGCATGCGTAATTGATGCCATGCACTCCTTAATTCATTGTGAGTGTTTGACCCGATGGCTCCTGGCCATATTCCGTTGGGACTGTTGTGCGTGTAGTTCACCACGTATGCTTTTATCTGGAGGGGTGTATGTCACATGTTAGTTGTCGATACATGTGCACTGTGTGTTGTAGGCAGCATATCCTTAACTCATCTTAACGTCTTGTGCCACTGATCTAAACCACAGGAAGCGATTGAGATGGCTGAGAACGGCGACTACACCGAAATCGACCGACTTTTGACTGTGATGTGCGATCCTTTTGGACTGAACCCAGAGACCGAGGCATCGTTCGACGTATGTCTTGTCGAGTGTACATCTGCGTATCTGTCCTCGCGTGTCCCTTTTCCATTTAGTTTGGGTTGTTTAGGCTTTAGGGTTAAAACCCAAACCCCTAAAACCCCCACTATAGTGCTTAATAGACGGGCAGTGTTTTGGGGTCTTGTGCTGGAGTCATGAGACGTGTTCCGTACGAATACACGTGTACGTCTATGCTGTGTATTGTACATTCTTTTGCTGTTGAGGCGCATGTAGCTGTGCACTGTATTGCCATAGCAACTCGTGTGGTCATACAACAGGAACTGTCTTTAACCTAGTATTGCCGGATACTATATGACGTCTCGACTTGTTGTCTGTATATGTTAACCTTGTCTGTATAATTTAACCTTGTCTTTATATGGTAACCTTGTCTGTATAGTTTAACCTTGTCTGTATAACCTTGACTGTATAGTTTAACCTTGTATGTATATGTTAACCTTAGAATGGTTCTAGCTGTGCTCTCTGATCGGCACTTCATACTTATGATTCAAGATATCTTGACAACCTTATGCTATGCTTTGTCCCTTGTGCCCGTGTTGGCTTTTGCAATACTCTGCACAGTGATATGCAGCGTCTGCGTATTGTCTCTCACGCTTACCGGGGTACCTAACGGCTCCGACTGTGTATTCAACCACCAATCAAAACCGTTTTATTTTTAAACCAATTTCTTTCATTGCTACCCACAATGCTTTCCGTAGGCACTCTTTTTTGTAGGCTACACCCCCATCAAAAGTGTAATCAACTCGTTCTCAGTACACACATTCTATCGAACAAGACAAAACAGTCTCAACGACTTCTAACCCCTACCTCTTTTTCGTATTTCTGGGCCAAATTAGACCTCCAAGTATGCAGCACCAGTGCCGGAAAAACAGTGCGACCTGGTGTTGAGCTGTTCGTCGTAAGTTCGCTGGTCAGTCAATCGGAGACGCGTCCTACTCAAACGGAGTACCCAATCTCTCGAGCAGGAGTCTAGTAGAGCCCAATGCAATGCACGAGCCGACGGTTCAGATCAGTAGTGGAAGAGAGAAAAATGGCTATAGAACACTGCGATGTGCCTGGAGGGGAGGTCAGCTCAACCCACAGAGTGCCTCAGTGAAGATGGAGGTCAATTGAATTGTGTGAGGGGATAGTCTGTGCGATGTGAACGGACACAGCTCTGGGCCATGTCACACGCCCCCATGCGCAGGACGGGCCAAGAAGGTCGTAGGCATTGACCCAGCTGTGTTGTCTACATATACACACGCGCTGTACACCACATTTTCTGTCGCATACGATGGAGTTTGAGTAGATTTCATAACGTTACCGGATCCCGATGGCGGTAGTAGAATGTACACAATGATCGGCACACAAATAGAATAACCTTGTTGATAGAAGTATGCAGACAATGGTCTTGGCGGTGCACGTTTGAGCGACCTGTGTTGTCGGGGTGTGAATATTACAAAGCTGGTGTTGAAATATCCCATCTATACTACTGCTAGGTAGGTAAACACTACACAGAAAATGCATCGCACGAGCTGAGTTTAAGCAGTTATCTCCGGACATGCCCGACACTTATGCGAGGACCTTTGCTTCTCGCATCACAATGATCAAACGGTATTGCAGCCCAAATGCAGTGAGTAGCGGCCACTTGAAGTAGTGTGACGCTGATAGATATGCTTTGAGTCTTTTGCACCGTTCCCGCTCCGAAGGCGAGAGAGTATTCGCGCGTGAAGGTGGGATGAACAGCCAATCGAATCATGTTGTTGTGAGTGTCAGCACACAATGGTACACGAGCGGTGCGGGGAAATCACATCGAGACATGGCCTTGTACTGACCATGACTGTCAAAATGAGTGAGCTTCATCTACAGTATCATCAATCATCTACAGTGTAAAACATAAATAAACTGTTAAATACCATCACTGTCAGAACAAGTGAGGTCCATCTACAGAATAATCTCAACTATAGAATAATCGATAAACTATTAATACCATGGCTGTCAGAATAAATGAGGTTCATCGACAGTATCATTTAGTAGTAAACTTTTACTAATACCATGATAGTCGGGATTAGTGAGCTCAATCTAGTACTTGAGTCGTTACTAAGTCTAATAATTATACTTACACTTCAGTTACCCCCGTGGTCACCTCTGCCTTCTGCTTAAATGCCGCGTCATTCTCCGCGTACTCTTTTTAAATCTGTTCATCGTACAGCTTGTACACCTTGTTTCGCCTCATCTTCAGCGTGGCGCCCAATAAATCCGCAGGAATATCCAAATCTTCCTCATGCCAAATCAAAAATCTAGCTGCGTGATATAACGTGCTCAGCGCCCTTTTTTAACCCAGCATCTATCTCTCTCTTGATGACCTCACCTTGCTTTGCAGCAGAGTATGTGGTGGCCTTGCTGCCAACTCTCTTGGCCCATTGCATCGATACTCCCTCGAGCTGATCTGTGGGCTTCATTGCATCCGGGTCCGTCACCACACACAGGGACACCAACATTCCCAAATATGGCTTGCGTTCACCAAACACCACACAGTTGCTAAGATATGACATGGCCTTCTTCATGGCCCTTTCGACGGGCAAAGGGGCTACATTCTCACCCTCCCCCCCCCCCCGGCACCAATAATCAGTTCTTTAATGCGGCCTGTGATGTTCACAAACCCATCTTTGTCGATGGTACCCTGATCACCGCTTGCCAAGTAGGGTTTAGGGTTCTGCGGTCTTCTCGTCTTTCTTGAGGTATCCCATAAACACATGTCGGCCCATGAATTGGATCTCCTGAGTTTCAGAATCAACTCGAAGCTCGCTGCCGGAAATTTTGCGACCAACTGAACCCTTTCGGTAACCAAGGCTGGTTGTGCAGAGAGTGGCTGGTCCGGAGGTTTCGAACTGTCCTGAAGATAATAAACATATCAATTTACATTTTAACATGCGGGCACGTAGACACGTGATATCATACTCCGTCGATGTAGTATATGGAAACAATTACAGACTTTTCGTTGGCGCACGAGACGAATATAATAAAAGGACAAATACTTAACAAAGTTTCAATAGCGAAGTAGATTTGCAATGTACCATACCTTCGAGCAAAGGTATGACCAATCCCGCAAATAAGTACAAAGTCTCCATTGAAATAGGCGCTGCACCAGTCACGCACAAATGGCAATGATCCAGACCCAGGGCTGCTCTGACCTTGCTGAATACCAGCATGTTCGCCAGACTATATCCCAAACCTCCTGTAGGATTTGTGAACTTTGACTCGCCGGTAGCAGTTAGACCCTCCCCGCTAGCCGTACGCTCAAATCACACGCCTTTAGCCCACGTGCTGATCATGAGCTTGAGATCTGTGGATTCGGCACCTATTGCGTGTAGTTTGGCGGCGATCTTCTCCCATACATGTGGTACTCCCAAAACGATGGTAGGCTGCACGGCAACGAGCGACTGACCAAGTGTGCCGCCCTTCAAGGCATCTGGACGGGCAAAGGTGGTATGACAGCCCAGAATACAGACAAATTCGAAGTCGAGGAACTCAGCTGCAATATGCGACAGTGGCAGATAAGATAGAAGGCGATCACCTGGACCGATTCCATTCATTGTAAGCGCTGTGGTCTTCGCGGAGAATACCAAGTTATCGCGACTGAGCATGACTGCTTTAGGTACTCCTGTTGTGCCAGAAGTGTAAATCAGTTTTATGCAGTTGCCGGCGACCTGCGTATTCTTGCGTTCATTAACCTCGGCTAAATGTGTATCGTCCTTGTCCAATGACATGAATTGCTTGTACTCGTAGAGAGACACTCCATGTTTGCGAAAGGCCTCTTTGTGCGCACTGACGTCCTCTGGATTCATATTATAGACCACTACTACTTTCAAATCAGGAAGACCGCCCTCGATAGAATCATGCAAAATTTTCTGATACTTCATCATCGACCACCACAGTATGCGCTTTACAATGCGCTGCTTGGTACTGACATGCCTCAGCACTGGAGGTTTCGTACACACCGGCACTGACTCCAAAGGCCATCATAGAACCCATATCTGCGGAGAGCCATTCAATACTATTAAAGCCAATTATATTCACCGCCTTATGTCGAGGAAAATCGCACGCTACCAACGCCTGGGGGAACTTCTGTGCCTCCGAGTAAAACTCTTTGTGCGAATATGTTTTGTTTGATTCGCTTGTGTAGTAGCCTGTGTCTGCCTTGGTTTGAGTGAAAGTGGTGTAGGCTGGCTCGTCTCCGTGGTCGTCTAGGATTGTTTATTCGCCTCCCACAAGGTTTGAACGGGCATCTTATCATCGTCCTCAGTGCGGATGTGATAGACATCGCTGGCTTTTGTTACGAAACACCTAACCATTTTGTCTAATCGTGTGGATTCTGAATGTGTTGTTCCCCTGTGCAGTGTGCACACACCAACAAAACGCGCCCCTACTTTTTATCTCTTTTTCAATTGCATAGGTAGACGCATGTCAACGGCGGATAACACCACCGGAAAGCAGAAACCCTCAGAAATCAGACGGCTACGGACCATTGTTTGGTACAAAACTACCAAAAATAAGGACTCGTTTCTCACTGTCTCAGTTTCACTCAGACAGTCACAAGTTCACAACACAACTCACACCGAGTCTCCGATATTTATTTAGATTGGCATCTTGATTCTTTTGCCTTTTATTTTTATACAATGAAAAACAGAATGTTTTTAATAACTCTAAAAGTGCCGGACAAGTCTTCTGGGGGGGGGGGGGGGTTAGGAAATAATCCGAACACAAGACCCAGTCCTACAAGCCGGACCAATAACCAAAAAAGGACTAGAAGGATTAGTGTGAGACATCACTTCTCAGATACAACCCCCAGAAGCCCCAGAAAGAACAAACAAAATCTACACGATGTCGGTTCCAGCGGAAAAAAAACTACTACTAAGACACAATCAGAAGAGGAGTGGAACGACGTCTGTCTGGACATAACCAAGGCATACGACAAGGTCGCTCTCCCACGCCTATGGGTACTTCTGCGTCACGCTGGAATGCCCGTAAACTGGATCAACTGCCTTCGCGCGCTGTTTGGGAGGGTCCCTATTCGAGTGACATACCACGGCACGCTCTCGTCTCTATTCCATAGAACGAATGGCATCCTACAAGGCTCAATCGTCGGCTCCCAGCTCTTTACTATCTACGTGGATTCCTTAGCTGTCACGCTAGCACAATTTCGGCCCAAGCTCCTCCACTCTTATTTATTTGTCGATGACACACGGATCCAAGCCCCTCGATCGGTTTCGCTCCAGCCGTTCTTAGATGACATTGATGCGTGGGGACGCAAATCTGTCCTCGAACAGGGTGTCATAAAACCCCGAGTATGATCTACCGACTAGCGACACGCAGCGCCAACCCTCCGTATAAATGGTGAGCTTATCACGCCGACGCTTGCAGACGCACCTTGCAACACACGTTACCTCCCCCTGAAACTGGCGCCCACACATGCCGAACAGAAACACTCCAAATACCTGGGGTTCCCACTCTCTCACGGAGTACCAGGAATCAACCTCGCCAGACATATGGAATCCCTGATTGCAGCATTGTCACTGGGTATCGCCTCCTTTCGCGCTTATGGCTTCCATGGCTTCAGTTGGCGACATCCCCGCAACCCACTGGTGATGTTCAAAACACTTCAACAGCGTGATTAGCCGGGGTATGGGGAACATCTGTTGATGTGTCAGGGACGGGTGAGGTTACGGTGGTTCTTCAACATGCTGGAGAAAAGATACAAGGTGTTCGTGGAGGGTCCAGATACCGTGGAAGTCGTGGCACTCCTGTAATTGCCGAAGGAGGTCAGGGCCAATGGGCGGCAGTTTCGGGCCTACCAGGATGCGTCGAATCAGTTGTTGGATGGAGGTAAAGTGGCTGGTAGTGAACTTGTGGCTACCGGGGCAGACAGGGCAGAGACAGCCGTCGGTGCGGTAGTCGAGCAATGTGAACATGTACGTATTCGTTACAATCATAGCACAGAGCCGGATTGGTGTAGACTCGAAGCAGCGATTGAAGCTGTCGTGTCTGGCTGTGTCTCGGTTTGAGGTTGGCGGTTTACCCATAACCAGTTGGTAGTAGTATTGGCGCCGGGCCATTGCCGCGATCTCCTTGTTGGACCAACGTTTTGTTGAGTTCTTCCTGATGTCGTCACAGCGTTGGCGGAGGGCTACATGGTCGGTTGTACGCCCGCCCGTGGTTTTGTGTACAGTTTTCAGGTGAGCATAGATACTGTACGGGAAGCGCAGTGATGGTTTAACGTGGGCCCAGGCGGGTTGCGTCCGAGGGGTAAGTGGTTTTTTGCTGATTTTTCGATTTAGGAGGCTATATGCCAATTTATAAAAAATAAAAATAAAAATCAATAATCTGTCTATACTTTAAGTTCTACTGCGAATAGTGTGTGTGTGTGTATTCGTTGGGTCAGTTGAAGTACTATACTTTAAGTTCTATTGCGAATAGTGTGTGTGTGTGTATTCGTTGGATTATCGTGTGTGCATTAATCAGAAAGTATATCTTAAAAATCTGTCGGTATTTGCAAGTTTTTTACTATTTATTATACATATATATA